TACAGGATGCCAGCAGCGCGCACGTGACACATACTACATGCTGCGCTACACGTGATCAACCCCTAGTTCCTCCAACTCCGTAACAACACGTACGCAAGGCCCACGGTGTAGGTTGTGGAATCGTAGAACTGTCAATTAAACAAAGATTCTAAGCTGAGGAGAAGAGGAGAGCTCGAGAGAGCTTCGATCTAAATACTTGGTGTGGGTCGCTAAGCGAGACCACGTGATCCGAATGGTGGTGACGGTTAGAACCGTCACAAATTAAGCTTATATTATAGTAGTTAGTTAGTAGGGTAGGGTTAGTAGGGTTAGTATTAGTATTAGTAATAGTATTAATCTATACATTTATTAGTCTTACAAAATCTAGCGCTATATATTTAATTATAATACGCGTATTATATAGTTTTACCTAGGGATTAATCCTAAAGCTCTTATATAATATAACTATTAGAGAGAGGTAGGAGATAGAAATATATATATACGTTATTACTATTAATAGTAAGTAAGAAGAGAAGAAGAGAGAGGCTAAGAGAGGAATATATTTTAGTAGGATAGAGGATTTAATTATAGGGATTCTAATTAGCTAGTATAAGCTGACTAAGCTACCCTACTACCTCTAATATAAGAATAGAAATATATTATACTACCTTCTTATCCTACTAATCTAATAATTACTAATATATCAAAACTATATTTTCTTACTCTTCTCCTTTCCCTCTTTCTTTTTATCTCTTTTAAAAAAAAATTCCTAAAAAAAAAAAGTTAATGTAACCCGATGGTAGTTCTGGTCGCCGAGAATCTAAAACCTAGGAATGCGCACCACCAGCGTGAAAAATAAAGGGAGTCTATACAGGTTGGGATCCAGCTATGTACTGATGGAAGGCTTATGTTTGAAGAGGACTTTTTTGGAGAGACAAGTTTACATAGATATATAAACTTCATGAAGAGATAGCCTGCTTTGATTGCTGACCGCTCAAACCCTCAAACAGGTCTGGTTGAGTTAGATAAAGCTCAGTATCCAATTTAAATTCCTCTTATTTGAAATAAACCCCAGGAGCGAATTAAATGTTTTTTTTATCACGTTTTATATCTGTATGGTGAAAGTTACACTGCCAATACTTTTCAATCTCGATAACCTACTATGTGAGTTTACAGATGTCTTCATCTTCATTATCAACTTATACAAATCTTGCGAGAACACGCAAGAACAGACTCAGTTATATTAATAATTTTGTCTTTCAAAAAGATATCACGTTGGTCCAGGTTGCGAGGGGCGGAGTACTTTGACTCTGGGGCGGTCATAAATCAAAGTAGCTCTCTTTTGTTTTGAAATTGTCGGTGGGATTGTCGTCATCGACCTTCTCAGTGCCATGGCGAATCTTGGAAACTTCCATCCGTGTTTCATTGAGCTCTCGGATGTGAGAAGAGTATTCGACAGCGACTTGTTTTTCGACAATAAATCAATCGCTTCACTGCGATCACAATGGTAGGTATTTGCTTATGCCCGTACTTCGACAGAGCGTGGGATTATGCACTTCTACGTAAGCGTCCAGGTTGCAAACTGTGGTGTTGGCCTTGTACTGGACCCTATGTATAGGCTGAGCTTCTCACCAGGCTTCTCCATGGCCAAAACGAGTGCCATACAGGTTCCCAGTGGATTCCCTTCGAGAATCGGAGGAAGGTATTTAGGAAAAGAAATCAACGGCGGAGTCGAGGAGTTGAAAAGTTGAAGCAGGCTTGGTGTAATTGTCAGGGGAAACATGCGAGGATTCTGGCCAGGTCAGCATACAGATCAGCAGATAGTTAAGGATGTAACGTCACGGTGATAACGCAGCTTCTATAGAGATGTACTAAAGACTGAACGGGCCGAAAAAGGAACTCGGGGAGCCTCACTAAAAGTGAGCCTTGACACATGTAACGAGGAAGTAGAAGGGGATGGTTGTTATAGAAAACATAACAATTGAAAGAGGGTAATAGTAAAAAGGTCGTTATAAGAACAGTGAACGTGGGGGCTATAGTAGCCACTCGCGGTATTACTGTAATAGCGCCTCACTTTACTGCTCCACCTCTTATCAAACTATTTCAGGGTGTATGAAGGAACCTGGACCTACCTCTTCAATGTAACCCTCAAATTAATAACTGATTGGCACATGTAACATTCCCAGGAGACAGTAATCATGTCCACCGCTGTAGATTCTGTTTTGGGTAGTTCGTTTCTGGTATATGATCTTGAAAAAGAAAAGTTGGCTAAACAATACAACCATCACCTTTCTTTGTCATTTTCCTACTTACTCGATTACTCAATCGTCGTTAGTTCTGCAAGAGACAACTAGCAAATTATAGATTCATAACTAGAAGTTAGAACGAGGGATACTACGCAGAGAAGAACTAGTACGACTGACTTTTCATTAAAAATCATTTAAAAGTTATTGCTAAGTTTGCCGCTTTGCAGTCCCATTCTTGCTCATACGAAGTCCTTTCGGGTGTCTCATTAAGACTGCAGTTTTCACGTCTTTCTCATCACCATAGCGACTATAATCAATAATAATCTCATCTACCTCCACCCAACCATACTTCAGATACAGACCCACATCCACTGGACTAGCTGTAATGAACGTCTTCGCTTTGGCCTCATCAATGATTTCCAAAACCGGTTCTAGTAACATAGTCCCAATTCCTCTTCTTTGATATCCCGGATGAGCAACGAGGAGTCTGAGGTCTTCAGTTGTTTGTCAGCAAGCTCACACAGACATGAATTTAGTTTTTAGGGAGAGGTTGGGGATGGAAACACGAACAGTAGTGTAAATGAGGTACATGCCACTTCTGTCTTGCATGTAGAAATTTGACCAGGAACTCAACGATCAATTCATCGTTCGATCCTGGAGGTTGAGTTGCGTTGCGGATTGCAGTTTCGGGATCTGGCTCATTTGGGTCTGGAGTGTGTGGATATTGCCAACTGCTGTAACCAACGATTTCACTGTATGGCGGTGCTGTCAATATAGCGCTTCATGTCTATCTCTTCTTGGTTCTTTGCAAAGTGACAAGACTTGGAGATATCTTACATACCCAGTATCCCCATCAATTGCCTTGAAATATTTCATCCCAGGGCCCTCGTAACCCTTCTGAAAATTCTCCAAAGTGTTCTTCTTCACCACAATTGGATCTGCTCGGGGACGCATACAATATAATGCTGGATCATCGGCAAATGCTTCGTTGTAAATATCTACACGTACTTCCATATCGATGAACTCACATGGCAGGATTTTAATGCCGGCTGATGCCATCTTATCTACTTCTGGGGGATATTATTGAGTACCACTTTGTGTCAGCAACAGGTAATGTGATGCGAATCAGACTGCAACGTTTGTAGCATAACACATCACCTGATATACCCAAAAGTGGGATTCCTCCTATCTAATTTAGCCCTCGTGTACGAAATCATCCGCCGATATCATTAGTCTACTATATACTGTTATTAGTACTTGCAATGAATTTGTAATAACGTATTGAAGTATTACAAGTAGTAAAGTTAAAGTTAATTAGGTAGGCAGCTTCCAGAGAGGTAACTAAGTTAATTTTGTGTTTTTATAATCGTTCTTACTATCATTAGAGCTAATATAGTCGCACGCGTTCTATAAAATACGTGGTTAATGCCCTATATATGCCTAGCTTATAATAATAACATTCTAGAATCTTTATAGTATATATCTTACTAAAATTACCGTGAAATTCCTGATAAGCGGAGAGTACTATTTAAACATAGAGGAATCTGTATAGCTATTAATTTAATTTTACAAAGAATTTATAAATGGATATGGTCACAACCCTTTTTTCGAGATCAAATTTTTTGTTCTAAATCACTTGCTCTCACTTGCTTGTACTAAACAAGCCGATTACCCTCCATGGAAACCCCTCTAAGGAGGCCTCGGGCCTTACCGTCGCCTCTGAAAAGAGGTCCGGGTAGGGGAGGAGTACGCCCGATTCCCCCCCTCCCGAATATACAACAGCACTTCGTCTTAGCAACGGCTGAAGCCCTTGAACGTAGTTCTATAGGCCAAACCTTCTTTGGGGGTACTGCAGAAGCTG